CTTTGGCACAGTGCTGTCACAAGAGCATGAGGGCAAGTTACGACCAGTTGCTTTTGCTAGTACGGGGCTTAGGCCATCTGAGAAAAACATGCAGAACTATAGCTCAATGAAGCTGGAGTCCCTTGCCCTTTAGTGGGCAGTCTCTGAAAAGTTCAGGGAATACTTGTTGGGTACATCTTGTACTGTGTATACTGACAATAACACATTGCGATATTTGGATACAGCCAAACTTGGTGCAGTGGAGCAGAGGCGGGCGGCCCAGTTGGCTGCATTTAATTTGACTTTGAAGTACCGCCAGGGTCTTGTAATGGGAACGCAGATGCGTTGTCTCGTCAGTATATGGAGCCGCAGTTAGCAGAAGCTTCCAGGGGAGGAAGTACTGTGGGGAGCGTACTTTTTTGTCTAAGATTCTTACTCTTCCAGGTTGTTCAGGGGTAGATCTTGCATTATTGCAGAAACAGGATCCAGTTATTGGGCCTTTCTTGGTTCACTGGAAGGAAGGTAAATTTCCGGGCCCAAAGGATCGAGCTAAGTTTGGGGTAGGCACTAAGGAGCTTGTTCGACAGTGGGAGCGGCTTAAGGAGAAAGATGCTGTATTGTATCACTGCATTTATGCTCCAGACGGAGGTAAGGAGATCTTTCAGTTAGTTCTGCCTCAGTGTTTGCAGCGGAATGTGCTTTCCAGTCTTCATGACAACCATGGACATCAAGGCGTGGAACGTACTTTACATTTGGTACGATCGCACTGTTATTGGCCGTGTATGGCAACCGATATAGAGAAGTGGTGTCATGAGTGAGGAAGGTGCATTCTGGCTAAGGCCGTACAACCTAAGGTTAGGCCCTTTATGGGTAGCATTCAGGCCAGTCATCCACATGAGGTAGTGGCAATAGATTTTACCATGTTGGAGCCAGCCTCGGATGGTAGAGAAAATGTACTGGTATTAACAGATGTTTTCTCTAAATACACTCAAGCTATCCCCACAAAGGACCAGCGAGCTAGTACAGTAGCAGAGGTGTTGGTGAAACACTGGTTTAATTTGTTTGGTCCCCCTAATAGGATACATTCAGGTCAGGGGAGAAATTTTGAGAGTAGCCTGATACAGCAGCTCTGTAAGCTTTATAATATACAGAAGAGTCGTACAACACCATACCATCCACAGGGCAACGGTCAGTGCGAACGGTTTAACCGTACACTACATGACTTGTTGCGTACTCTATCCCCTGATCAGAAGAGGCGTTGGCCACGGTATCTTTCCCAGTTAGTTTATGCATATAATACGACAGTTCATCAGTCAACTGGTAGGACTCCTTATTATTTGATGTTTGGAACAGAGCCTCGTTTACCTATTGATTTTGTGTTGGGTGTTGAGGCAGGGGAGGAAGGAGAGAGTTCTGTAGAAGAATGGGTGAAAGAGCACCAGGAGTTATTGGAGGGGGCTTATGGTCATGTGAGGCAGCGGTTGGAGTCTAGGAGGCAACTCCGAGATCAGAGTCATGAGTCTAAAGTTACAGATACGGGTATTGAGGAAGGTGTTCTAGTTTATACCCGTAATCATGCAGTGGAAGGTCGTAATAAGATTCAGGATATGTGGGACTCTACTTTGTATAGAGTGGTGCAGCAGCCTAAGGAATGGGGGGCTCCTTACTCTATTGTTCCAGTGAATCAGGATGGCCCAGTACGGCAGGTACATAGAACTGAGCTTAGAAGTGTACCGATGGTCACATATGAAGTTGATGAGATACCTGGGGCTGATGCACAGGGAGAAGTTGCAGAAGGAAATGATGAGGTAGAATTTTATCCTTTGGGGTCATTGTGTGCTGAGTCCCCTGAGGATATTGCCCCTGCCTCTGAAAATTTGGGATCCTCAGTAGAGGACTAGCAAGATGAGGTGACTGAAACCAATTGGGGTTCTCAATTAGTAGAGGAAGGTCCTCGGAGATCCTCTAGAAGGACAGCCGGTCAACATTCTAATCCCTACCATTTGCCAAGATCAGTAGAGGAAGATGACCATGTAAGAACTTAAGTTTTCTTTTACATCGTCGGGTCGCCGATGCATTTGGAGGGGGTGGAATGTGGCAGGTGATATTTAGGGAGTAAAGTCATGAGTTAAGGGGGTGTGGTTAGCTATGTATAAAGATCAGCGGTAGGAACGAGAACGGTAGGTGCGTTTGTTTCTGGCCGGCGGAAATAGACCGACACTTTTACTGTTTGTTTGCGAAAGATTCGCAGGTGGATTTTCTTGGATCTCGGAGATAGGTATGAGTTTATTTGAAATCTTAAAGTGTTTTAATATGTGGTGTGTGTTTTAAGAAGAATAATAAAGGCGTTTTAATGCATGTATTTCAGCTCCATGAAGCCTATTGTTTCATAGGCGAGGGGTTTGCATATGCCGTCTTTTGGATATTTGACATGGGTAGGAGTTTGTTTGAAGCACTAAAATGTTTTAATAGGTGGTGTTTGTCTTGATATAAATAATAAGGGTATTTTAATGTGTGTGTTTCAGCTCTACGGAGCCCATTTGCTGCTCTTGTTGTATTTGGGTTTCAGTTTATTTTTTGGTTTGAATGTTTGGTTTTGGGTTTATTGTCTAGTCCGCCCGGGTACTTGAATTGGTAAGTGGGCCGAAAGAAATGGTAACAGCCCTTTTGGCGGACTAGTTTTCTTTTGTTTATTTATATTTTTGTTTGTTTCCCCCATTGTTTATATATATACTTCACAAGGACTCTATATGCTCAGTGTTTAAGCAGAGTTGAGCTATTTTTGAATGTAATTTACTTTTGATGAATTGTGTGAACCACGAGGTTTATTTTTGTTATGAATTTATTTAATGGGTTTTTGTGTGATTTGATGCTCAACTCTTGCTCGGTTAACTTATGTGTAATAAAAAAACTCTGTAAAACCATCGATAAATTTTGGGGATTTATTTAAACGAACCTGAGTTGTGTTGATGTTTATTTAAAGGTGGACCTTGTTACAAATGCAACAGATAATTCTACAGATTGCTGAAGAACGAACCTCGTCTAGTAGGCCAAAATGAACTGGATTCTGAACCCACAGTAATGCTGAGAAGCAAGAACATCTGACCATCTGTACAATGTCAACGTGTATGTCTGCTGATTTTGCCTATTTTAATGTAACTGTGAAATGCAGAATCTAAAACATATATTCATTTATGTCATGCTTCAATATTTGTTTTCAAAATTCTCAAACTGTATCCAGATTTACATTTTAGGTTTAATTTGAATCCCTATATTTGGTGCTCATTGTATATGTTAATGTAGCAGTAATGTGCTTTTGGTTTACACTGACTGGATTTCTTTAATATGAGGTATGTATGATGCTATACTGTATGACAATATGAGTCACTATGTAAGATGTTTTCATTACTGTGGAAAAATAACCACATACAATTAAGGGGGTCATATGATGCTATTTAAATTTTTCCTTTCTCTTTGGAGTGTTACAAGCTTTTGGTGCATAAAGAAGATCTGTAAAGTTGCAAAGACTAAAGTCTCAAATCCAAATAGATATTTTTTATAAAAGTTAAGAGTCAACCACGCCTACCCAAAACTACTCATTCTAACCTTCCAAAAGAGGAAGATATCCGCTTCGTCATGCCTGGAGCTGATCCGTGCTGGTCGCTGAGGAAATACATCAACTTCGCACTGTGGATCGCTTACATGCAATGTAACGTGTAAAAAGACAGTATAAGTCATTATAATCCATAATTATGTCCCCACTGGATGCAACAAATGCCTCATTTATAATGGGTTTTAATGTTTTTGTCTCGTTGCTCCGGCCGGACACGGCATCACAATATGGTAGGGGCGTAACATTTCCGTCACACGCTTGAGGTATTCGACCAATCACAACGCACTGGATAGCTGGCCAATCAGAGCACACCTCGCTTTTCAGACCGATGAGCTTTGTAAAAATAATGTTCTTTTTAGCAACATCATATGACCCCTTTAAAACAAACAGTTGCTGTTGGGAAAAAGCATATGGGTCATATTTTTCTTTTGTATTTTACATTTTTAACAGATAAACAAAACAAACAAAAAGTTCATCATAAAATGAAATAGCCTACAGGTCTTTTTTTATGGGAGTAAGGAAATGGATCTCGAGTCACATGTTCTCACATTGATATAAACACAAATTGCAGGTTCATTCCCTTACGTGAATTTGATTTGTCAAATTCATTGTGCTTTCATCATACATAAAATATATAGTAAGTCAAAATAAGTCTAATTCAATAAGACATAGGACATTCATAGTTAATGAAAACCCATTTCACTGCAAAATTTCTGCTTTTTACAAAAAATTACAAACTTGATCAGAGCTGCTGATTTGTTGAACCAAAATGGATTGATCATTGCATATTTTGAATGTTCAAAAATTTTTAATGTAGACCAAGCGTCATGTAGTAGCCTACATTAAAACCTAAATCAAGCCAGAAACTATTTCTGCACAAATTGAGCAGAAAGGATTTTAATATCATAATTAAAAGCCCTTCTTTATTTTGCATTTAGAGATTTTACAGAAACTCAGGACTTCAATGATTCATTTAAATGGCCTCTATTTGAGTATCATTTTAAACTTTGTAAGTATTTTATGTGGCAACTGCAGTTTGTATTATTTTAACGTCATTAGGGAACAAATGTTATAAGTGGCTACTATAAAACCTGTTTTAAACTTGTATGGCAGTTTTATCAAAACATGGTTAATCCATCGTCATTAGCCTAATACATTTAATTAAAAAGTTAAACTTAATTTCAGCATTCGCATTTATGTAATTAACAGAACTGGAACACGTGAAATTACGATTAACATCCTAAATAAACGTCGAAACGGTGTGCCTAATATACGCGCCCTGCTGTCGTTTGTATTTATTTTGAAAGAATTCAAAGAAACCGTTCGAATGACCCGGTTAGCGGAACTCCAGCCCTGTAACGGGTCAACATTCGCTTTCCCTACATCACTTCCACATTCTTGACTTCCGCATGACTTTATGAGCCAGATTGTCCCATACAGGCGGGAGATTTGGAAACAACACTTTCTGTTTTACTACTCCCCGTGTCAAGTACAGAAATACACAAATTCTTCCAGACAGTTCGGCCGGTGACAGGTACGCAAGAGTCAAATATGCAACTGTTGCGTTTAATGTCAGCAAAACATCCGTGCATAACATATCTGGCCTATTCAGTTGGTACAAGAGTGTGAGTGAGACATTGCTTTATAATTATGTTTTTGACACGGAACTATATCTGTTTCAATGTATATTAATCTGCATGCTGTTGTAAAGTCGCTAAAATGATTTCATGTCACACTATAGATCGAATTAATGGGAGTCAGCGCCCAAATGGACCCGTTAGACTTTAAAACGAATGAAGAGTTGCTGTTTTTCTTCCACCGGAAGAAGACAGAGATTTCGTGCATAGAAGAACCGCACAGACTCCTCACTCAGCTGCGCGACTACGATCTGGTGCCAGAGAAACTTTTTGAGGTAGAAACACGCCCACCCTTACATACCCCACTCTCTCTTACCCACCCTGTGTATTTTACTTTCATTTTAGAGTTATCTGAAGGGCAGTAACTCTTATATAGTAACTCACGCTATTTCTGAAACTAAACAAAACGTTCTACTACCATGCTAACTTGATAATATGTCCATATATACTATGGTAATACCATGATAACTTGATAATATGTCCATATATACTATGGTAATACCATGATATTTTGGTGTGGTATGATAATATTGTTTTTTGGGCATTTAACCATAGTAATACCATGTTTTGGGGCATGTACTATGGCAATACCATGTTTTTTTTGTGTTTTTTTCATTGTACCATAGCTGTTTTTGGACATTGCACCCTAATTGGACTTTAGTAATACCACAATAGCAATACCACCATATATTCCAACATGCCATATAGTATCTTTGCAAAAGCTGTGGCTTTACCATGTTGTGTATATACACCAGAGATACACAAATGCTGCATTTATTTGATCAAAAAGTAAAGAGAGTAATACTGTGAAATGTTATTACATATATATTATAGCATAAATATTATTAAAATATTATTAAAATGTAAATACTATATATATTTTAAAAAATGTCATTTATTTCTGTAATTTATTTTCAGCTTCATTACTCCAGTCTTCCGTGTCACATGATCTTTCAGAAATCATTCTAATATGTTGATTTGCTGCTCAAACATTTTTTTTGTTTTTGTTTTCGGTCAATGTCAAAAACAGTTATGCTGCTTAATATTTTTGTGGAAACAGTGATACCATTTTTTTCAGGTTTTTGGATAAATAGAAAGTAAAAAAGACAGCATATATTTGAAACAGATTTTTGTAACCATTAATAACAGTATTAATTTCTTTCAAAAAAAAAAAAACCCAAAAAACTAACTGATCTTAATATCATGGTACTAACCATCAGATACCATCACTTTACCATGGTACCTCCACTATACTTTAAAAAAAAAAGTTATAGTGTGTCAGTTCATTGTTTTGCATATTTAGGCCTGATACATCTGATTATAGTTGCATCTTCCTTTATCTCCTTCTCTCTGTTTTTGTCTGTAGAATGTGAAAAAGATGCGTACTCGTAAGCAGAAGGAGAAGGGCTTCTATGAGGTTCTGGACTGGGTGGAGAAAAATAGACCTCAGGACATACAACAGTTCTGGCGCTGTGTGTTTGAAGATCATATCCTTCACCTGTACCCAACGCTACGTATCCTCAGAAACAGTCTGCTGGACGGTTACTGGTTTTCATTATTATACTAATATAATATTGAACTATACTGAACTATACTACGATAGATCAAGAATGCATTCATATGTACAGTACCTTTTTATTCTTTTCTTTGTCCCAGGCACTTTCAAACTCTATGAGAAACCTCCGGATGTTGAGACACTCACAGAGGAGGAAGACAGCGAAGGAAAGGCAGAGAAAGGGAAGGAGAAGAGCTACAAAAGAAAGGGAAGTAAAGATGACAAAAGTAGTGAGGATAGTGATGATCCTGGTCCTTCCTCTACTTCCACACCCAAGCGGAGGAAACCAGCCAAAAAACCCTCATTCTGTGAGTCCCTGAACTACAGCAGGTCTAATTTCTCATCAGGCTTAAATAACACTAAAACTAAAACAATAAAAACATGTTTGTTGCTTGCAATAAAGTAAACCTTAACTAAAATAATATAAAATTTAAAAAACATTTTATTTCAGAGAGTTGCAGAGGAAACTTATTTTCTTATTTTCATTTAGTTCTTATCGATGTACTAAAATAACTGAAACTAAAATAAAATTAAAGGAGAGTTTGTCCAAAAATGAAAATGTACAGATAAAACTAACAAAGCACACAACAAAATTGCTCAAATTAAAATAAAAAAATTAATTCAAAATATTCATAAAAACTATAATAGTATCACTACTACTTACACTTGCACTCTGTTTCCTGGTGCCTGATGTCCTATTCCTGTATTTTCACTCTCTCCTGATCTGTGTTGTCTTCTCTCTCTTTCTCAGCATCTCCTGTGAAGAAAGGTGACAAACAGGAGATTTGGAAGTGGCCTATTTATAAAATTCAGCTGCCTGTAAGCTGTGGGGATAAAGAAGGAACTCTCTATCGGGACAAACTGCCCGAAGGTTCACCATCATTGAGTTTTTGCAATCATTTCTCTTAGTTTTATTACAGTTTGCTGGGGTGGATTGTTTGGTCTGAATGCATCCTGTCCTTGTCTCCTGTAGGGGAGAAGTGTATTTTGTCCCAGGGACGCTGGTTCACCCCAACTGATTTTGAGAAGTTTGCGGGGAAGGAAAAGTGCAAAAACTGGAAACTCAGCATCCGCTGCAGAAACACACCGCTTAAGAAACTCATCGAAGTAAATAATGCAAGCACTTACAGATCGTTGGGATTCTTGGGATCTTTGTTAAAAGGTTTCGCAAATTGTCCTTGGTTTTGCTGTAAACTTATTTTACACTGCACAAATACTTTATTCACATATTTTTTAATTAACTTTTTTCATTTTGATAAATATTTAGTCAGTGCGTTATCAGTCTGTAGAGTGGGACTGTTGTAAAAATGTTAGTACTTTAAGGTTAATTATATATATATGTATATATATATATATATATATATATATATATACACAACATACGCCTGCCCATACCATAACCCCACCGCCACCATGGGCCACTCGATCCACAACGTTGACATCAGCAAACCGCTCACCCACACGACGCCATACACGCTGTCTGCCATCTGCCCTGTACAGTGAAAACCGGGATTCATCCGTGAAGAGAACACCTCTCCAAAGTGCCAGACGCCATCGAATGTGAGCATTTGCCCACTCAAGTCGGTTATGACGAACTGCAGTCAGGTCGAGACCCCGATTAGGACGATGAGCATGCAGATGAGCTTCCCTGAGACGGTTTCTGACAGTTTGTGCAGGAATTCTTTGGTTATGCAAACCGATTGTTGCAGCAGCTGTCCGGGTGGCTGGTCTCAGACGATCTTGGAGGTGAAGATGCTGGATGTGGAGGTCCTGGGCTGGTGTGGTTACACGTGGTCTGCGGTTGTGAGGCCGGTTGGATGTACTGCCAAATTCTCTGAAACGCCTTTGGAGACGGCTTATGGTAGAGAAATGAACATTCAATTCACGGGCAACAGCTCTGGTGGACATTCCTGCAGTCAGCATGCCAATTGCACGCTCCCTCAAAACTTGTGACATCTGCGGACCCCCCCAATACAGTAAAACTGCACATTTTAGAGTGGCCTTTTATTGTGGCCAGCCTAAGGCACACCTTTGCAATAATCATGCTGTCTAATCAGAATCTTGATATGCCACACCTGTCAGATGGATGGATTATCTTGGCAAAGGAGAAGTGCTCACTAACACAGATTTAGACAGATTTGTGAACAATATTTGAGAGAAATAGGCCTGTTGTGTACATAGAAAAAGTCTTAGATCTTTGAGTTCAGCTCATGAAAAATGGGGGCAAAAACAAAAGTTTTGCGTTTATAATTTTGTTCAGTGTATATATATATATATATAATTTATGTACTTTAAGATATAAATAATTATTGGTTGTTGTATTTATTAGTCAATATTTCATTTTTAGTGCATCCCTAATGTACAATATCTATATGAACATAAAAATCTAATCTGCATGCAAATGAACTTTTAGTGGCATTTTTATTTCATTACTTAATTGGTACAACTACTGTTTTGAAAGAAAACTTGCACCTTTTTTCTTGTTTGAAAAAATGTTTGATTGTACAACTCTAGCAGCTAACAGCTTATAGCAGGAATGTGCTTCTAATACAAAGCAACAGAAATACAGCACATATTTTTGTATCGACTCTTTAATTACAGCATATGAGGTAAATATATAGTTACATTAAATACAGCAGACCCCTCATATACATGTGTATCACTTTCTCATTTTTTCAGGAGGAGCATCTTCTGTGTCCACCGATGGAAAGAAGAAAGAGAACATGTGTCCAAAAAGTACTTTGTCTCTCTATGTGCAATGTCAGGTTTTGCTTTTCCTCTGTTTTTCATTTGAGATTCATTAGTGACTTTGTTCCTTCCTGCAGAACATGAATGAGAGGTTTCCAGTCAGCTCATCTGAGAGCTCCAGTGAAGGTGAGTACCCATAATCCTCGCTCATTCACATGCTCTCTGCTGTCTGAATGCAGTAATGTGTTTTATTCCTCAAGATTTAGAAACAAGCTCTGGTTCGATGGAGGAAAGCGATGTTGAAGATTTCCAGGAGCAGGGAGGGAGAGGAGGAGGAACAGAGTTTAGAGGGAGAGCCCAGGAAGAGGAGGAGGAAGAAGAAGACATGGCAGATCTGTCTGTTTTCCAGGCTTCCTCTTTACCAGTCACCTGTGTTTCACTTACTGGGACTCTGTACAAATACAGGTTTGCGTCAGGTACGTTATTGCACAGATTTGTGTGCAGAACTCAGTTTGTTTTGTCTGTGTCGAAGGTTTGAGTGGGAAGTATTTATGTTTATTGTTGTGTTGCAGGGAGTCGTGGGAAGTGTATACGTACTGAGGAAAGATGGTTCACTCCGGAGGAATTTGTAAAGCAGGAACTGATTCTCACTGATGGACACTGGAAGAAAAATATACTGTGCCATGGAAAACCGCTCAACTTTTTACTCAAGGTAACAAACGGGAGAGTGCCTTCAAAAAGCAGTATTTATTTATTTATTTGTTTGTTTATTTATTGTTTGTTTGTTTGTAATTTCTAGAAAGAAATCCTGCGCATCCATTCCCTTCTGTGTGAATGTGTGAAATGCAGTAGTCAAGAGCAAGATGTGGTGAGAAACATCTCTACCTGACATATTTAATCATAAGCAGTCATTATCAAAATAATTTATGACATTAACTTAAATTCTTAACAGTCTTTTAAATGTGTACATTAATGTGTACATGATCATTTATTCACTTGTTCTAAAACTGTATTACGAGTTTCTTTCTTTCTGTTAAACACAAAAGAGGATATTTGTAAGAATGTTCATAGTGGGGAAAAATATCGTGGATGTCAATCAACTGTTTGGTTACGAACATTCTTCAGAATATCTTCTTTTGTGTTCAACAGAAGAAAGAAACTCATACAGATTTGGACAGTGTTGGGGAAAGCTACTTTTAAAAGTAATGCATTACAATATTGCGTTACTTCCTAAAAAAGTAACTAATTATGTTAGTTACTTTTTATGGAAAGTAATGCGTTACGTTACTTTTGAGTTACTTTTTAAATCTGGTCAGAGTTTGCTTGTTTGTTTTTATTATAAAAAAGTTGTTCTTTTACAAATGTAAAAGCCCTTTAACAACAAAAGTGAAATGAATACCCCTCATGCTGAAGGAAATGTAAATTCACGTCTGTACAGTAGAGGGCAAACTCAAACAAATTGCATGAAGAATATGATGCAGGTGAAGAAAGTTAAACACTGTTCATCAATAACAAAAAATGAAACACAAATGTGTCATTTTTGCTTAGTATGGTTGAATTGGATCATCTTAGGTCAGTATCAAAGACATTGGTTAATAAAATGGGATTAAATACATAAATGATATTTGTGTTATTTAACATATTTAATTACGCCTCTGCAATTACTCCCGATTTCTCTCAACATGGCAACACAAGAGCTGACAGTCAATACATGGGAAACAAAGTAAATGGCGTTACTTATTTGAAAAACTAACTCAGATATATTTCCTTCTAAATTAAAAAGTAATGTGTTACTTTACAAGTTACTTAAAAAAGTAATCTGATTACGTAACTCAAGTTACTTATAATGCGTTACCCCCAACACTGGATTTGGAGCAATTGAGGGTGAGTAAGTGATGTCAGAATTTTCATTTATCTATCCTTTTAATGGTTATGAAACTAATGTCAAAATAAAAAAAAATCTTGGACGTACAGGGTCCGTGTAAATCCGTGTATCATTCGATCATTCGTTTTTTGATTTAATATTGAAAGTAAAAAAATTCGAAAACGGCTCCTTTTTCGTTTTTTTTCCAAAAAACGAAAAATCGAAAATTCAGCTTAAATTTTAGTTTTTCGTTCTTGGGTGGAAAAATGAATAAACAGCTTGAATATTCGATTTCTACACGTGGGCGGGAATTAAAGCTGCTGATTGGGCTGACATGTTTGACACACCCACCAAACAAGAGAAAACGCATCTCAAACCCCGTTGCACACCGTTTCCAGGAAACATGTCGTTCAAACCGGAAACCGTAGCAAAATGGTGCACACCGGTTTGAGCTTGAACTTGCCCCTGATGACAGCACGGTTTGATCTTCGGCTGACCAATCAGAAAGGGTCGTTTAATTCCCGCCCACGTGTAGAAATCGAATATTCAAGCCGTTTATTAATTTTTCCACCCAAGAACGAAAAACGAAAATTTAAACTGAATTCTTGTTTTGCGTTTTTTGGAAAAAAAACAAAAAACCGAAAAAGGAGCCGTTTTCTCATTTTTCTACTTTCAATATTAAATCAAAAAACGAATGATCGAATGATACACGGATTCGTGTACGTTGCGTTCATTCGTTTTTTGATTTAAAATTGAAAACAGAAAGATGAGAAAATGGCACCATTTCCGTTTTCCGTTTTTTCAAAAAAACAAGAAATCGCCTTGATTTTCACTTTTTACATTCAGGGGTAGAAAATGGATAAACAGTTTGAATGTTCGATTTCCACGTGTGGGCGGAAATGAAACACCCCTTTCCACTGCAAGCAAGCATCAAATGGTGCCGTCATTAGGTCGTCTTCAGTTTTGTGCAACAGAATAAGAGTCCTCCGCTGTTAAAACGTTTATTGCAACTCCTGCGTTCATCCCCCTCTCATCAAACAACCAGACTAACAAATGGCTTGACACAAACCATACTGGGGCAACGCCTAGACAGGGCTTACTTCTGTGTGGGCATAGATTTTATATGGCAAATATTAGGTGCTTATTGCAGAAATATGTATGTACCTCAAATCTGCAGCCACATTACCATTTTAGTCTATTTCTTTGGCGCACCGCACATTTTATGTAGCTGTCCAGTTATCAAAATCTGTGTGGCAAAGCTGCGTGACATTTACATTATAGTGAAGCACGTTTTAGTGTGAATATAGAGCTATCTTACCGTTTTGATTATTATTTCGAGTTTTTTTTCATAGAGAAGTTTATATGACACTGTCATTATCCGACGGAATGTTACACGTGTATATAATACATGCTATTTTTTTTAGAAAAGGGCATTTTTCTAACTTTATAAAATATGTCTGTCACCTTTAAAGGGGTCATATGATACTGCTAAAAAGAACATTATTTTGTGTATTTGGTGTAATGAAATGTGTTTATGCAGTTTAAGGTTAAAAAAACACATTATTTTCCACATACTGTACATTATTGTTTCTCCTCTATGCCCCGCCTTTCTGAAACGCGTCGATTTTTACAAAGCTCATCGGTCTGAAAAAGCGAGGTGTGCTCTGATTGGCCAGCTATCCAGTGCGTTATGATTGGCCGAATACCTCAAGCGTGAGACAGAAATGTTATGCCCCTCACATACTGTTTGATGCCATGTCCCGGCCAGAGCAACGAGACAAATGTTACCAATTACATCAGTACCAACCAAAGCCATCTTTGCACTGTGGCACAGAAGCTGCATCTTAAGTTGAATTTAGATGTATTTACACAATTAATGCTGCTCAGATGGCAGTAAATGCATTAACACAGCAATTGCATAATGGAATGAGATTAATGTTTTAAACAAAAACATTCTGAATAGCCTACAGAAATATGAAATGAGCAACAAAATTAAACAATTGGATACTTGAATTATGAAGGTTACATCACCAGTAGGTGGCGGCAAGTCATTGTGTTGATGAATGAGTCATAGAGTCATCACTTCAACCGATTTGTTCAAAATGATGATTTGTTCAGGAGCAAAGCAAATGGGTCATTGAACCACTCACAAACGATTCATTCAAAGACTCGGATTCATTCAAGAATGAAACGCCTGTGTTTTAAGTCAAATGAAACACACTGTTTTGTGTCTAAAATGAAATAAATCCATACTCATTATTACTGAAACTGTACTGTCTAAAATAAAAGTCATGACTTCTGCGTATTCACACTAAAATCAATACTGGTCTGCACTTCACTATAATGTAAATTCATTCGCCCCGTGTTGTCCAGTGCGTCACGCAGCTTTGCCACACAGATTTTGATGACTGGACTGCTAAATAAAATGTGCGGTGCGCTAAAGAAATAGACTAAAAGGGTAATGTGGCTGCAGATCAGAGGTACATGCGTATTTTTGCAATAAGCACCTAATACTTGCCATGGAGAAACTATGCCTACACAGAAGTAAACCCTGTCCATTTGTTAGTCTGTTTGTTTGATGAGAGAGAGACGGAATGCAGGAGTTACAATAAACACCTTAACAGTGGAGGACTCTTATTCTGTTGCACAGAAATGAAGACGACATGATGATGGCACCGTTTCATTTTTGCTTGACCAATCGGTGAAAAGGGGCATATAATTCCCTCCCACACGAGGAAATCGAACATTCAGGATGTTTATCCATTTTCTACCCCTGAATGTAAAAACGAAAAATTAATGAGGAGGTCTCTCCTCAAACCCCCCCAGTGTGCAGCATCCACCTGCATGATGCGACGGCAGCCACAGGACAACGGCGCCAGTGCGCTCACCACACACCAGCTACAGGTGGAGAGGAGAGAGAGTCATAGAGCCAATCAAGTGGTTGGGGATTATTTCATGTTTTTGGAAAAAAACGAAAAATGAAAATGGTGCCCTTTTCTCATGTTTCTGTTTTCAATATTAAATCAAAAAACGAATGAACGCAACGTACACGGACCTTACAGTAAACTTAATTTTCCTGATGCAAAATGTATTTTTCCCCCCACCTTTTGTGGTGAAATATGTTCTGTTGCACAGAAATGAAGACGACATGATGATGGCACCGTTTCATTTTTGCTTGACCAATCGGTGAAAAGGGGCATATAATTCCCTCCCACACGAGGAAATCGAACATTCAGGATGTTTATCCATTTTCTACCCCTGAATGTAAAAACGAAAAATTAAGGCGAATTCTTGTTTTTTCATGAATGAATGAAATTGTGTATTGTATTGTGAAATTGTGTAACTTTTTATTGTGTATTGTTGTACACCCAAAGCACTTTACAATCATGTGGGGGGGTCTCTCCTCAAACACCACCAGTGTGCAGCATCCACCTGCATGATGCGACGGCAGCCACAGGACAACGGCGCCAGTGCGCTCACCACACACCAGCTACAGGTGGAGAGGAGAGAGAGTCATAGAGCCAATCAAGTGGTTGGGGATTATTTCATGTTTTTGGAAAAAAACGAAAAATGAAAATGGTGCCCTTTTCTCATGTTTCTGTTTTCAATATTAAATCAAAAAACGAATGAACGCAACGTACACGGACCTTACAGTAAACTTAATTTTCTTGATGCAAAATGTATTTTTCCCCCCACCTTTTGTGGTGAAATATGACTGACATATATTCTGTATAGATTCCTATACATCAAAACAAGTTTGTAAGATAGAAGAGGCAAATGCATTTGAGCTTATTTCTGTGATGATGATAAAATGTTATGTTGTGTCATGTCATCCTCTGACTAGACGGCCCAGAACAATGATGACGAGTGTTATGTGTGTCGCTCTGAGGGAGATCTTGTGTGTTGTGACGAGTGTCCACGAGCTTTTCATTCACACTGTCACCTACCAACTGCAGACGGAGACTCACCTGGGTGAGAGAGACAAACAGAATAGAAATCATTAAATCAGCAAGTATGTATGTTGGAGATTCATCCTGTATATGTGTGTGTTTGCTTGTAGGGAATGGATTTGTACCTTGTGCGTGTTAAGAAACAGTCAACAATGGCGTGACTCCAGTAACATGTCTGAACAAGAAGCTTTCAATGCCCCAGTGTCTCAATACAGATTGGTAAACACACACACACACACACACACACACAAATTCAGCACCTTAATATAGAAGATATCACTACTTAGCAGTCAGATGTCCGTTTGCACAAAGGCACAGATCCCTAAACAAGACCATATCTGCAGATGAATCTTTTTTGTAGAAGCATTTTTTAAATGTGAACTAGCACCTCATGACTACACCACGTTATGTTTGAGAAGCTGCAAAAGACACAGGAGCAAGTGGAACGTATAAAACATGGTAACATTAATTTTGAAGTAAATATAATGGGCGATATATTGCATCACCAAAAATGATTGAGGTCATGTACATATATTGCGCGATAAGTCGATATATTGACTATTGCGACAGGCCTAATAAACACAAACATTTAAGGTGCTCACAATTTGTAACAGCCTTCAATGCCCTAAAGTGCTGTCTACATAGGCTGCTCAGCAGGCTTAGAAACAAAACAATTATTTATGGGCCTAATTGTGGATATGTGTGTTGTTTGTCATCTTTAGCACTGCCACTGCCTCCTGTTATGTGTGTACAGAGAGGACATCAAGAAGGTGTTTGTTAAGGATCCACGACAAACGGTGAGATTGCCTCCTTTTTTCTTCTTGCTGTCTGTTTCATGTCACCCAGCTTCAGAATTTTACTCTTTTCATGCCTTAGTTTAATTTAAAATAGTTTATAAATAGAATAAAAGTGATGAAAAATATGACTTGAAATTTATAATGCATTAAAAACCAAAAATAAAATGACTTCCAGGTGTCCAGATACTCTGAGGTCATAACTCAGCCGATGTGGCTGGACAGAATAAAGCAGAAGTTGGAAAGTGGAGAGTATCAGACGGTAGGAGCGTTCGTCTCTGACTTTCAGCTCATTTTCAGCAACTGCAGCAAGTTCAATGGGGTAAGATTCACTGAAACATGTTACATAATAAATAAATCACCAAATAACAGATCAATAGCTTGTTAAAATGAAGTTGTTTTGCAATCTTATATGTGAACACATACATTACATTTGATTTTTTACAGATTTTTTTGTATTTTGTTCTCTTGCTCTCTAAAGGACAATGAGTTTGGCCGAATGGGTGCCAGGCTGAAGCAAATGTTTGAGGAAGAGTTCCAGAAAATCTTTAGTATCCAATGACAGCTCTCTTTTACAAGTCTTTCAAAGATACAATTGAGAGCTGGGTAGCTTCAAATATTAATTAGATCTCATTATAATGTATATAATATGTATACAATTTTTAATTTTGCAGTCCTGCGAAGAATAAGTGGTTTGGAGAATGGATGGATGCAGTACAGGACTTAGTTGCTGTTCAACACTATACATCTTTTTTTTGTAATGCCATCTTTCCAATGCAGTGAGGGATTATGTAATTCCCAACATTATACTTATGGTAATTTGATTATGACAATACAGAAGATCTGCTACTATTAACTTTTTCTTCTACTCCATATAGACGATAATGACTGTTAGTGTTCAGGTACCTTAAAGGTGAAGGGTGCCATTTCTGTAATTGCAAGAACAATTATTGTTTTAAATAGGTTCCTAAACAATCTGACCACCCTTTCTGACCTGCTCCGTCTTCCATTGTTCAAAAAACAGGCAGCCCCACCACCAAACACACGGCATTAAAAACACTACAGAGCCAGATATTTGCATTCTTTTTTTGGAAATTAATCCAAAAATTTTTTTTTTTTTTTTTTTGTGGCTTTGCAGGTTTTTTTTTTAATAAAAAAAATGTTAACAATAAAAATGGCACAATTCACCTTAAAGACCTAAATCAAAATGTATTGCAGCATTTTGTTGTTTGAATCATTTGCTGTTCATTATTCTGTTGTTGTTGTTTGTTTAATTACATATAAACATACATTATATATAAATAAATCGATACCTTTATGTAAAAATGTGGATTTTTTTAAATGTTTATTATTAATAGTAGTAGTAGTTTTTGTTTTAGGTATTCTTTTGTGTAGTTTCTTTTTGTTCTGTTGCCTTTTTGTATTTTGGGTATTTTGATACCTGTTTATAGATATACTTAGATGACAGGTGGCACGCAGTCAGATGAGTAAATTTAACAAAATATTTGTATTACACCTGGGTTGCCCTTTAAGGGATAGTTCACCCAAAAATTTTAAGTCGTCATTTACTCATTTAAAGCCAGAGGCGGACAAAGTACTCAACTCCATTACTTGAGTGAAAGTACAGATACTGCTGGTCAAATATTACTCCATTACAAGTAAAAGTTGTAAAGACAGATTTTTACTTAAGTAAAAGTACAGAAGTACTTGCTTTTAAAAGTACTGAAGTACCAAAAGTAAATTTCCTTTTTTATGTCAATGCACTGTTTTATTGTTGTACGTAATACTTGCAATACTTCTGATGCAACTTAGAATACATTACACCTACTATGCACTGACTAGCTTGTAGTATCTTGAGAAGTTCCCAGAAAAAATAATACTCAAGTAAAGTACCGATACTCAAAAAGTGTACTTAAGTACAATACTCAAGTAAATGTACTTAGTTACTGTCCGCCTCTGCTTAAAGCTGCATGTTTGTTTATCAACATTCTTCAAAATATCACCAGTTTTCAGCAGAAAAAAATGTTTTGGAACAATTATACCGACTCTTACTTGAGCACAATGTATAAATAAAATTTCTTGTTAATTAAACGTTAGTTTTTTTGAGTTATCAAAAACATGAAGGATGATTCAAATACCAACTAAGGCGAAGATATCCCGCGCATCCTTTTCAGTCATGCACGCCCCCCTCCTCTTGCTTCCCTCCCACTTTCTCTCTACTAAGTCGGATGATAATTCAGAAAACGCCGCTGTATCCGAGGAAATTGAGGTAACTACCAAGCTAATGCTTATTGCTGTTAAAGAGTAGTATTTGAATGTGTGTAACTGAAGACATACCGTTTTCCAAATTAAGTAGTTCCTCTTTTGGTGTTATAAGCCGGGCTTCGAACGCTTTCGCTTTCGATTTCCCGATTTTGTGATCACTTTTTACAAGAAAAGATAATAGTCTGTTTTCCTTACATCTATACACCTTTCACTTTTTAAGACTAAAACATGATTAAAAGATTATCAACAACAGATTTATTGTTATTCTTAATTAAAAAGCACAACAATAAAACAGTAGACTACAATGACAAACTAGCTAATGGGTAAATGACGTAGGCTTTAAGGATATTTGACAGGCCAATTTTAAAATACAAAAATAATATCTATTGCAATTGTTCAAACATTAAGAATGTTTGGTAAACATAAACTCATATTAAAATGTCAAATTAAGTGATTTTAGTGTTTTTTTTTTTTCATCTAGCCATACAAAAATGTAATGTGGTGCGACTGTGATTTATATTAAAATTAATTCATTTCCTTAACATGCTTAACATTTTTATTACAAGTTCTCAGTAATTAAAGTGTTTAGAAAGAATGTATTTGCATTTCTTTTGAGTTTTTGTAAATGATGATCTCATATTTTTGTTCATAATTTCTGAGTTGCCTTCTTAAATGTAACAGATCTACTTATTTTTCTTGTAAATTGCATAAAACTGATCGAAATGTTTTTAAAATACCATTTACTTAAGCATACTGTATCAGTGATTAATATTTCAGCCACAGAAATTAGATATTTTTAATTTATTGCCATTATTGGTCGCACCACATGACACAAAGACCTTATATTGTAAAAAATGTATTTGAAGAGATCAATAAACAATAAATTTCATACAAAACACCCAAATAATTTAAACCAAATTTTATTAAAATTTCACAGAATTTTCATGAACAAACATTTTATAAACATATATTGTATAAAAATCGCATCGCAAACATAAGTGCAACATTTTATTTAACTTGACAATGGAGACAATTGAATGAATACATTTTGATTTCATTTTGATCAGAACCACGTATAATCATTCCTCATTTTTGTATTTTTTTTATTTAGTTGACAGGGACATTGTACATTAATAAAACATTCCTGTAAATGTACCAGAATTAGCCAAAGGCTATTTTTCATTCGTAGTCCATGGACAAGATCACAAATAGTTTTAAGTAAATGCACATTTGTGGCCTAGTTGTGACAATCATCATGCTGCCGATGGGTATTTGGAATGTCTGTGTGAAAGTGTGGCATGTGGCGTTAACTGCAGGCGTTTCTTTAACCCCAGTTATTTCTGAACTTTGCACAATCTTGGCTGCTCAGTTGCAGTGGCGGCTCGTGGGTAGAGGAGGCATACTAATTGTATTGGTCTGGGATCCTGTAATGGAGGACGCTGAGGCTGAGTCTGAATCCATGTGCGGGAATTTATTGAGGACAATTTCAGTGAACAGGAACGTCAGGGCAGGCAGAAGGTCGAAACACATACATCCGTCCGATCAGGCAAACTAAGCAAGGGGGAAAGTCCAGGTAATCATTAGGTAGGTAAACAGGCAGAATCATACACTGAACAGGCAATCAGAATATAAAGAGAAAACGCTTGGTAAGGCAGGTTAACTGGCAATACTTCGCAATGAGCATGAGCACAGTCTCTGGCTATAAAGCAACCAAACAGGAAATGAGTGTAGAGGAAGCAGAGGGAGTGGAACACAGTCAGTACTCGGGTGAGGGCTCCCTCTGCTGGCTTGGCATTAACAGATCCCTGCCGATTATTATTATTATTATTATTATTATTATTTGCTTAACCACTTTAAAATGGCTTTTTGGTTGCTTTTAGTCAGAAAACATAAAGAAAACCACACACATACAGCAAGATAATATAATTTCACTTACCTGGCCTATCACTTGAAGCAAACAACCATCCCTTCTTAAAAGTCTGTGTTAAAAGAGAGCTGCCTGTTGCGCGACTCTTGATGAAATAAACCAACATGGAGGGAGAGAGTTCTTGTTTGTTGAGTAATTCTCTCTCCAAGGAGTGTGTCGTCAATTGCTTTGATCTTGATTGGGGGAGTGCAAGGTTGAGTGAGAAAATTATACTTGTCAACAATGCTTTTGTTTATTAAGTTCAGGGCAGCTCCCGAGTCAATCATCGCTGTGAATTCAAGAGAGACATTTTCAGTCTTAATTGTGAAGGGTAGTATGAATGACTTATTACTCAACAGTGAAAAATGTTCAATATTCACCCTCGAAGCTGCTTGGGGCTTGTGTGGACATCCAGGGCTGCGGTGGCCTGCCTCACCACAGTAATAGCATAAATTAAGCTGCCGACGCCTTGTTCTTTCCTCCTCAGATAATCTTGAGGTACCGAGTTGCATGGGTTCGTTGCTTTCGGTTGGGGGTAACAGCTGAGAGGGACTTATTGGCTCATGTTGGAATCCTCCAACTCTTCTTCTTTTTGGGGCTTGTCTCATCAGGTTATCAATCTTAATGGTTAGCGTTACAAAGTCAGAAAAAGATAGACCCTCTCCTTTACAAACAAGTTCAGATTGCAGTTCGAGGTTCAGGATTTGCTGAAAGATCGCTTTAAGAGAAGTGTCATTAAATCCACTTTGAGCAGCAATTGTTCTGAATTCCACCGCATACTCAGCAGCGGTGCGATTACCTTGTGAGATATTTAAAATCTGAGTAGAAATACTCTTGCCCCCGCGGGATATTCAAACACCTCACGAAGCTGTTGAATGAAATAATCTACAGAGGTTTTGAATCTTGTATCTGTGTCCCAAACGGCTGCCGCCCAAGTCTCAATATTCACCCTCGAAGCTGCTTGGGGCTTGTGTGGACATCCAGGGCTGCGGTGGCCTGCCTCACCACAGTAATAGCATAAATTAAGCTGCCGACGCCTTGTTCTTTCCTCCTCAGATAATCTGGAGGTACCGAGTTGCATGGGTTCGTTGCCGTCGGTTGGAGTTAACAGCTGAGAGGGACTTAGTGGCTCATGATGGAATCCTCTAACTCTTCTTCTTTTCGGGACTTGTCTCATCAGGTTATCAATCTTAATGGTTAGCGTTACAAAGTCAGAAAAAGATAGACCCTCTCCTTTACAAACAAGTTCAGATTGCAGTTCGAGGTTCAGGCTTTGCTGAAAGATTGCCTTAAGAGAAGTATCATTAAATCCACTTTGAGCGGCGATTGTTCTTGAATTCTACCGCATACTCAGCAGCGGTGCGATTACCTTGTGAGATATTTAATATCTGAGTAGAAATGCTCTTGCCCCCTGCGGGATATTCAAACACCTCACGAAGCTGTTGAATGAAATAATCTACAGAGGTTTTGAATCTTGTATCTGTGTCCCAAACGGCTGCCGCCCAGTCTATCGCTCTACCCGTCAGCAAAGTCATCAGAAATGCACATTTCTTCCTCTCAGACTCAAATCTATCCCCTTGATGATCAAAAGAAATCCTTACTTGGCGAACAAAGCCTTTACACTGTTCGGCGGTGCCATCAAACTGATCAGGTAGAGCAAAGCTTACCGTTTTCGGCGTTGGTGTGGGGAGCGATTGGATGTAATGAGTCAGGTGTTCGTTAACTGCTTGAAGGTTTATGAGTTGTTCCCGGTAGCCCTCTAATATCTCACTTTGGTAGGCAAATGCCGTTTGCAGGTTAGAAACTTCCGCTGGATTCATTGGAGGCGAAGTATTCTGTAATGAGGACGCTGAGGCTGAGTCTGAATCCATGTGCGGGAATTTATTGAGGACAATTTCAGTGAACAGGAACGTCAGGGCAGGCAGAAGGTCGAAACACATACATCCGTCCGATTAGGCAAACTAAGCAAGGGGGAAAGTCCAGGTAATCATTAGGTAGGTAAACAGGCAGAATCATACACTGAACAGGCAATCAGAATATAAAGAGAAAACGCTTGGTAAGGCAGGTTAACTGGCAATACTTCGCAATGAGCATGAGCACAGTCTCTGGCTATAAAGCAACCAAACAGGAAATGAGT